TACCATCAAACACGTGCTCGGAAGAGACGCATTGTATTCCCACACAAATACGGGAGACGGCGACTCGCCTACCTTCTTCAAACGTCTCTTCATACTGAAGTGAAACAAAAACGACTGATGATTATTAGAACGCTCGAACTGGGTAAACAATGGGTAAACAATGAATCTTTAGGAAAACCTACGATGCAGTGACCACAGTTTGGGTGTGTTCCTGCAGCATCTTTGTTGAAGTCTATCCCATGCGTATGATAACAAGTGAACTTCGGCCTTTCCTCCTCTATAACACAAGTATTTTTAAAAATGAAATATTTGTACCCTCGGCCGCAACCACTGCAAACAGAAGAGTTGTCAGTATAAGGCTGATCATGCTTGAACAACAACTTATCCTGTGGATTAACTAAATATTGTCAAGGAACTCCCACTCACTTATATATGAAAAAGGAACAGAATGATTGATTTTGACATGCCTATTGGTGAAATGTGAAATGTCTATTAGTTTCCACAAGTAAACGTTATGCGTACTTCTACCTAAGGTACTTCGTTTGCCGGATTTAACAAAGTAGGTCTCGTTGACCCAATATAATTATGCCCATTCCTTGCGTTGACCAGGGACATCGGTGGACACGCATGCTTACACATATGTGGATCAAAACAGTACTCCAAATTTCTTTATCAAGTTAATCTGATTATATTGGCTGTCATTCTTTGTGCTGTTAGGAAGATTAAATCTCAGGACAACTGCGTTTGTTAATCTTCAATTCCGAATCAGGTTTTCGTTGTTTTTCACTGGTGCTCTACTACAACGCACTTGTAACTCTAAAGGTCACCCGACTTTCTTGCACAACGATTCAAAAATCAAATGGGGTTCATCACTTCATATTTGCATGTATTATCTGGGGGCAAAGTTTGTTGTATACGATGATGAAGAGTAGGTTACTGACAATTCCATCTCATCATTGTGGTCCTGTTTGAATACTGCATCAATCCTGCGAGCCACACATGCTGGACTACAGATAGTAAATGTTCGTCTATTTCGTGATTTTGTTTTAACACAACTCTTATTCTGAAGAGAATTGAGAGTTGTGTATATTCGTACAGTCTTCGAGTATAGCGAGTAAAGAAATTACACATGCCAATCCACATACGAAAGACTGTGACAACCGGCGGACTATTTTTTACGATGATCCAGTTATCAGCGCCCTTCCGCCAGACCTTGAGGTAAGAGACACGGAATGCAGTATTACTTCATTCACAACAAATAAAAAACATCAGTTTCCTGACGCCAAACTAAAAGCAACACACAACCTCTCACACAGACATACAGGCTTGAAAGGCATTTGTTGCACTACCACGTAATTTGCCGCAACTGCGGGCCGTTAAATTGGTTAACGTAAGAGCAATTACTTTTGGCGACGCTGTGAAAGGGATTTCCGAATGATTTCCCAAACTTGGCAATAAGCTTGCAAGCCATTCTTAACCAGTTTCGGATACATGCTATTGAGTGAGCATTTTCCGGTTATATGGTTTCGTTCATGCAGTATTCAGTAGTGCCTGTTATCGACTGATGTGAGTGATGAATTGGTCCACAGTATTTTACCATCTTATTAGTGTTCATGCAATGCGTGTTGGAGTATGTCCTCGTGAACTTCGGTTGGTTACTGTGGCAATATTGAGTTTGCGGTTCACTTACCTACATATGATTTTGAGCTGAATGAGTCTACGTTTTCTGCACGAGCATGTACCATTCCTTTTCTAGTTTGTTCCATGAGAGTTGATAAACTGGGCAGATATAGCCATCAGTGGTGGGGTAATCAGTGAAGAATCCTGCCTACATGGACTCACTTTCTTCAATTAATCTTGCGCTCAAAATGCTTGCACCTGTGAGCTCCACTCAAAATATATATATATATATATGTTTGTAACAATGCCTTTTAGATCTCGACTTCTAAGGGAGGACTTCGGGATTTTATCAGTCTGTATCTCTACGAGATTTTGACAGGATAATGCAAATGATTTTCCTACAATCGAAAGTCGGAAATGATCACAGATTTATCTCTCGGGTTTACCTCGCTTCCTGGATGATCTCGGCATGTGGATCGGACTCTGAACATGGAGATCCTGATTCCTAAAAACCGGATCAATTAATGGCATTGGCTGAAGATAAAACTTTCAACAACGAACTCTTGTGATTCACACCGCTTGTCACATCGAACCTTCGATAGAATCGCTCTTGCCCACCACATAACAGGGCGTCTGGCAGCCATCAGAAATGTGCCGATATATCAGTGTGGAAGATGCGACTATCAACTAGCGTTCAGAAATAAATACGTCTGTCGGTCAAATGATACAATAGCTTATTTGATCGGTACATGGAATATCGGAACAATCACTAATCGCAATTTTCCAATAATGCGTTTCGTGTTACGGGATGGCTGAACCAGATTTCGTTTGTTTGCTGTCCGGTGTGTTGCTTTTGTAGTAGTTTTATTACTTGCGTTGCTGATTCACAGTTAGTTTTCGGTATGTTTTTGGAATCAAAACCTACTTTACTTGGTTAAACAGAAGTGATCGTAGACAAAGAAGAAACTGCATGGGGCATAAGTATACTCAAGAAGGGATTGTGCGTACATTTGTATTTTATTGACACACAAAACCATCTAAACTTCTTAAAACCACAGGCTTCAACGTTTTACAAACAGTGAACTTGCACAAGTCTAAGCACTCATTTGGCTTAGATTGGGGGAACGTTTCCAAAGTGACACATATTTTCTCGGCTTACGAGACACCTTAACATCTGGGTGCTTTTACCTTTGCACTTATATGTGGATAACCTGGCAAAAAGGCAAGCAGCACTCATTAGGAAATTAAAGTATTTCAATCAACCAAGTGAAGATGACGTAAATATCATTTAAGTCATGCGGATGAAAGCTTCTACGTATGAGAATGTTACGAAATTTCCAGTCTAAGGATTCCCCTAATAGTTTGTCGGTCAGAGGTGGGAAAACTAATGCTTCTAGCAGCTTTGTTTGTTTTGAAAACCATATTTTACTGGGCGATAGCGAATCCCCCATCAAAGGACTGACAAATCCCTTGTTCCAAATAGAATGTGCACCTTCATAAAGGAAACTGCTCACAAGGTTTCTGAAAACTCTTCGAAAGCCTACGACCGGTTACGCCCTTCTTGAGGCTCATCAGCTAGGCGCAGTCCCCGAGTTTCCATCAACCTTATGTTCTACTTGAACCCAAATTGGTTCGTTTTTGAGAAATACACTGACGTGCAAATCAATGTGGTTTTTACGAGATACTCGATTCATTTTAAAGACAGTATCTGTTTACCAAAAAGTATACGACAAATTTTGTCTCTTGAGGCGTAACTGACACGTCACCGCAGAGAATAAAATAAAAAACGAAAGGATATAATCTAACACGTCCACAACTAAAACGGAGTTACTACGCCATCTGTGGTTTATATGCGGTAAAAAGTGACGTAATCAAAGGGGTGGTTGCGAGTCACTGCAAATTACAAATGTACACCATGTGACTGGTACTCAAGCTATTTTGCAGCCTTCCTGGCCAAAAACTGACGTGTTGATTTCGATAAACTTAGAATTTCTGAACTGGTGTCGCGAGCTGCATCATGTATCACGTAAACCTTGTGTTTGACAAACACACACATAAACCCTAATTTAATTTAACCGGCGGACATAGTTGGATCCCAGCTAAATTTCTTGTTTATGATATTCTTCAAGTAAACGTGCCGGCCATTGTTTCCTTTGCTGCGATGTTTTAGCGATCTCAGTGTTTTTTTGACTAAACATACGTTGCAAATTTTCAAAAATCCTAGAGCTTTGTTCCACTCGGAAATTTCTGTCTTTATTTAACGAGCAATTAACTTTTGACAGCATTCCCGTTAACCTCCGTCAGATAACTGCCCAGACTTAGATTTCGAATCCCTTTGTGTTTTTCAGAAACGCATCTTCCTGTTTGACAATAAAAAAACTGTATTTCCCAGACAGCACATTTACTACAAATAGTTGGGTCTCCGTGAGGAATAACATAAAAATGACATTAGCGTTTACGGTTAAATTGACAGCGGCAAGTGAGACCCAATAGATACCTCGGTAAACAACACTAAAGTGATACTATATAGATGCAAACCAGTGAAAAACTGACATATTTCTTCTTGGTTTTTAACATTGTCCATGAACACTTGGCTTTATTTTTCGGAATTGGCACATTGATATAACTGATGGAAATTGGGAGTCACGAGAAAAGTGCATTCACCAAAAGGACTGCCAATCACCTTACTTGATGACACACGGCACAAGATTGAAATTCACTTTCTATTACAATTCTTATCGCAAAGGCGATCAGGGACACCGCTGACTGATTGATTCAGTCCTAGAATGACTCAAACTGCTCCGCAGTTCTCCCTTTTTTTATTGTTCCAGCAAGTCAAACTTGGATACATCAAAAACTGAAGAATTGCCTCTTGTAGGTTTTTTGTTTTATTTCATTTTACAATTAAGGCGATGGACTGAGTTGCTAAAAAATTAATACAGTCCGCAAGATTGTCGTCATTGTAATTACGTTGGGTAAACACATACAAAACCACCGCATCTGGTAGTATGACGTGACTAAACTTTTTCAGATAAAGTTACACATGCGTGATGAACAACTACATGGTTGGAAGACGCAGCCTTGTAAAAGCCTATGAACAACATCTTGGGATGGGCGACACTGAAACCTGCCGAAATTTGCTTAAATTACACACACACGCACCCTAGCTCCATGTGGAAAAAATTACAGAATTATTAAATCGTAATATTTTCAGTCTGGCCTGTTGGTCTTAGAACAAGGATAAGTGAACCGTAATATGAATTGCACAGATCTTCGATGGACATCAAAACGTAAATCTAACTTTGGATTACCTTGAGCTGTGATGTACTCAAAGATATTCGTTTCCTGGCAGGATACATGCCTCTGATAATCCATAATTTTATGTCCGAAGCCTGAAATGCCCAAGATCCTCACTTGCTTTTTTGTGCAATTGATTCACAGAAACGTATTTGTTTAACGAAGTTGTATTTTTACAATGCTACCTAAGGTGTGCTTTGCTTCACACTGGTCCTCAAGTTTTTTGAACAACAAATTTGGCGGCCAGTACACAACGGTCTAGGCAAGGTGACGAAAAATTTTCTAAATAGGTTCCTCATGCAAGTTAACAATTACGCCTCGTAAGGAAAGCCGCTTGCTTTGTTCGCTGGTGGCAAGGTC